TAATGTAGGAGGTTAGAGTAAATCCCAACATCTTACATAGTTAGTTACTTATTTTCCAACTGTATGATTATAAATACTATATTTCAAAATATCACTCCTCTAAACAAAGCTCTCTATGTTGTACTGTACTTTACTCTCAGTAAATAATCAATGCTAACAATTTGATATTCAAGGAGTTTTGGTAATCCTTAAAATCAAATACAACAAAACAAAAATGACCCCGCAGTTCAAAAGAGGCGTAGAAAAAGTCACCTCTACCAACCGCAGAACAGAAAACATTATAACCCTGCAAGAACCTTCTGGTGCATTTGCTGAATAAGCCTCAAAACAGGTCTAACAGCCCTACCACACCTAGTTCTTACTCCTAGTGTCTCCTCACTGCAAGCGGTGTCAGGTCGAGTACACTCTGCACCTGATCCGACAAGAGAACCGACGTCAGAAGGCTGCGTGTCAAGCGAAGGCACAGAAGTAACTGGTCGAGAGTCAGTCAGGTCAGCAGGACAGTACATGTCAGCAGGCAGGTCACAAGAACCAGTTTGGCCTGGTCTCTCATCAGTCTCTTGCAAGTCCTCAACAGCAGGAACATCCACGGAAGCAATCAGCTGACCACCAGTGGAGGCTGGAAGTCTGGAGACCCATGACACAGTCCTGTCCTCAGGTGCACAGGAAGGCAATGCAACAGAGTCCACATCATCACCCTGCAGGGAGTCATCCGTAGCCCCAGTGGCCAGATCACTGCCACAAGAACCACCATCTTCAGACTCAGTCGGCAGAGGCAGGAAGTTTACAGGCATGATAAGATTCCTGTGGACCACTTTCTCCTGGCCTGTGGCACAGTTCCTGATCCTAAAGGTATGCGTGTTCTCTTGTTTTGCCACAAGTGTAGAGGTTTTTCTCCCAACGATCAGCTAGTTTCCTTTTTCCTCGTTCGCCTGTGTTAGCTAACAGGACCCTGTCGCCAACATCCACAGGGGTACCTTTAAGCTTCCTGTTGTCAGTCTGCCTCTGCTG